ATCCCTTTCTGTGAACTGGATGAATATTTCACCCAAATGCTGACCTGCTGTTTCAACAGTCACTGAAGGCTCACCTTAGCGGTAGAGTAACAGCAACCAGGATAGCAACTATCAATATCTGTGATTGCATAACACGTGTGCACATCATTTCAAGTGTTTTCTAGCTGCCTGGAAGATTTTCCCCCAAATCATTGGAAAAAGTTTCTTATCCAACACTTACATCCATGATGGACATATTGGAAGAGAAATTCTTTCCCCCACTCCCTTCATCTTTATAGATCTCTGGTAGATTTTAGGAAAATAAGATCATTGCTCATATCATAGTCTTGCCTGGCAGAAAAAAAAAACTTCTTTGGAATTATCTTTAAAAATAAGTTATTTTGTATTTTAATTGAACAAAATATGAATATTATTTTTTGTCACCAAAATGCTAGCAAATTTCCCCAACATGTTATGACATTCACTGTCACAACAGATTGAGAAAATAAAATCACCTCTTTCAGAAGGAGACAAGTGGGACCACAGTGATAGTACAGTGGGCAAAGCACTTGTCTTGCACATGACTGACCGGAGTTCCATCCCCAGCATCCCAGATGGTCGCCCAAGCACTACCAGGAGTTTTCTCTGAGATCAAAGCCACATCCAGTCCCAAAACCTAAAACCAAACCAAAACAAAGAAAAAAAAAACAACAAACAAAAAAACCCCCCAAAGGAGTCAAGTCTGTTTTGCCTTCTTTAAAGCACATCATCCACATGTGTGATGCTATGAAACCCTGGGGCTGACTAAGCATGGGAGAGTGATGAACAAGCTCCCTGATGCTGTGGGCAGGAGTCTGGCCCTTGCAACCTGGGTCTCTTCACAATCACGATCACGACCATCCTGTTGTTCGTCGATTGCCTCGAGCAGGCCCCAGTAACTTCTCCTTCGTCCTGGCCCTGAGATTTTTTTTTAAAGTGCCATATTCAAGGCTCTTTCAGGGTTAGGAGAATGAGACCCATCGTTGTTACTGGTATTTGGCATATTGGGTACACCACGGGGAGTTTGCCAGTCTCTGCCGTGTGGGCAGGTTACATTTGGTAGCCTGCCAGGTTGTCCAAAGCAAGAATGAGATAATAAGATGTCGCTTCCGGGAGCTGGGTTTTATAGTCTCTGAGTCTTGGCCATTGATGGGATTACACAGCGCCAGGGGGCCAGTTGGTGGGTGTGACCCCTGCCTACTGGAATTTGGAGGATCTGGGTGGAGGATGCTCAACTCCAATCTGAGTAGGCTTGGAGATCTCAGCCCTGGGACCCGCATGCCTTTGTTCCTCTGCTGGTACCTTCATGCGTGTGGAGAGTGGTCTCAGCATGGTGGTGGCTGGTTCTGGAGGTCTTAGGCTGCCGGAACCCTGGTCGGGGTGGGGAGGGAAACTCAACCTGCTCCCCTCCAAGGGGCCCCTGCGAGGACAGCCAGGCTCCTCCTGCCCCCGCGCCTGGGTCTCTTCATGTAGCTGAAAAGAAAAGTCACAGTGCTTTGCACAATCTAATAGGGAAAAGTGCCATCACTTTTGCCATGTTCGGTTGATCACAGACCAGCATTGGTCAAGGTGGACATTTTGGAGGTGGGAATTTTCTAAGCATTTGCTCTATGATGGTTCCTTTTCCTGTGTTGGTATGAACTGCACACTTTTCATGCATCCTCCGAAGCAGACCGCCTTCAAGTATCTCAGCCCCATTTACTCTGGAGGCTTAGAAATATTAAGTGACTAACAAAAGTTTTTTCTCTGTGTCAGAACATTGATCCCAGTGAAGAGAAAACTTCAGAGCAAAACACTCTTAAAAAATAAATGAAACACTAACCAGGTCTATCCTAATCCATTCATATACAGGTTTTCTTTCTTCTTTTTTCAGAATCACAATTGCACCCCATTTGTCATCACAGCATTTAGTACAAAATCTCGGGCATGGACTCAACCAGGCATCCAACGACAAATGAGTGGATGATGAAGGTGGGGGTGAGTATATGTATAATGGAATATGACAGGATAAAATCATGCAGTCCACCACAACTGGGATAGAATTGGAAGATTCTGTTGAATGAAGTAAATAGGAAGAAGGAAAAATATCGATGAACTCACTTTTCTGTGGCATAACAGGACAAATGACAGCAAGGCATCGAAGAAGGCATACTTAGATTAGCCTGGGACTTTGCCTATAGAACCAAGGACAGGGAAGGGAAAAAACTGAAGGGGGAAAATCAAGACAGATGGGCAGGAACAGGATCCCCAGCCACACTGTTGGCTATGTATATGTTATGTAACTATATAGAACACAATAAGCAAACTAAAAACGTGCCTGTCAAGAGGCTGGGTGAGGAGTGGGAAGGATGTGTAGGAAAGTTGACACTGATGACGGTATAGGTTGTTGGAAAATTGTATGCCAGAAACCAACTATGATAACTTTGTAAATCATGGTTCCTCAGTAAAATTTTTTAAAAATGCATAATTGAAGAATTTTGCTTTATAACTCTATTAAATTCTGTCATGCATACATGCTTACTATTACAAGTTTCATTCTTCACTTCATTTGTGAATTACTTTTACCTAACTTGTACCATCTACAAATTCTACTTATACACAGAACACTATATAAGGTACTGAGAGGAAGCCAATGCACATAAATGTGTCTCTAAAGCATGATACAGAGCAGGACTGAAACAAACACCTAGTGACAAAAGGTATGCTGCTTTTGATGTCAAATACACTGAAAAAATTAAAGAAGGAATTTGCACTCCTGGCCAAATTTTGTGAATATGGATGAGTATGAAATTCACTGCAGCTGAGGCCACTCATTCCTTTGCTATTTCTATGAAACTGGCCCAAGGCCTTTATCTATCATCCTATCAACCTCACAGCAGTTCCAGGGTTCTGGTGTTCTTTGTGTTTATGTTCCCAGTACACTCCCGCTCTTGTTGCTTTCTGCTGTCCCTCATGACTGTGGAGCACAGTTCCTTGATTTTTGCTAAAAGTTGCTAATTGGTGACACTGTTTTTATTAACAATGATATGGAACATTCCATGGCAGTGGAAAGGATTAGCGTCATGCAACCCAAAAAGGAGTATTTTTTCTTTCTTTAGAAGAAAAACCCAGGTTGCTTGTTTTTCCTTCCTAAAACCTTGCTCAATTCCCTAAATCTAAACCATTCTATTTTAATTTACAATGTACTTTTTATTATTGGTTTTCTTTTTGAGCCATACCTGTTGATGCTCAGAGGTAACTCCTGGATCTACACTCAGGAATCACTTCTGGCAGTACTTAGGGGACCATATGGGATGCCGGGAATCAAACCTGGGTTGCCTGCATGCAAGTGTCTTACCTGTTGTGCTATCTCTTCGGTCCCTATTTATTATTTATGTATTTTTAAATATCTGGCTATACAGACCAATTTTTACATGTAACGTAATTAGATGAAAATGAACAACCATGTAAGTGGAAAAAAAAAAGGATCAGAAATATCAGGCAGGAAAAAAAATAAAACAAGCAAAAAGACCTTAATGAATACTTACAGAAGGCCAGAAGTGTGAGTTATGAGCAAATGGAGGTGGACTGTGTCAGGGGAAGCAGGAGTCAGATACTGAGAGCCATTAGATACTGGAAGGGCTTTAGTCTTCAATGAGTGTCACTTCTATTGTGAAAAAAGTTTATACGGCATACTGCTCTTTCAAAACAACTATTAACAGTACGGAATAGAAATACAAGCCAAAAAATAAGCCCCACAGCTATCTGAAATCACTGAAGTTACAGAAATACAGGCAGATTTGGGAAGAACCTTAAGATTTAGAAAAGAAAGTGATACACGATGAACCATCCACTGTCTGGCCTGGGAACTCTGGTTTCCCACCTGGGGCGGAGTGCCAGGAATCAAAGCCAGGGCACTGGAGGTCTGAAGCAGTATGTACTTACCACTTACCACCATGGCTTTAAATGAACTTTAAATGAATGTTGATTTGTCACTGGTCACTGGTTAAACTGGGGATACTGATGATGGGACTGGGCGAAGAGATGGTTGCACTGGCGAAGGGATGGATGTTGGAACACTATGATTGAAAACCAATCATGAAAAACTTTGTAATTGTGTATCTCATGGTGGTTTAATAAAATAGATTAATCAGCACACTCTGTGATAGCACAGCATTAGGGTGTTTGCTTTGCATGCAGCCGGCCCGGCCGACCCGGGTTCAATTCCTCCGTCCCTTTCAGAGAGCCCAGCAAGCTACCAAGAGTATCTCACCCGCCTGGCAAAGCCTGGCAAACTACCCATGACGTATTCAATATGCCAAACACAATAACAACAAGTCTCACAATGGAGATGTTACTGGGCCCGCTCGAGCAAACTGATGAACAACAGGGGGACAGTGCTACAATCAGCACACTCTAGCCCTTCTGAATAATGATGCCTTTTCACTCTTTGCAGCTAAGCATCACTACCTCCCCTCCTCCCTTCCTCCCCCAAAGCTACAGTGTCACCCACCTGTCTTCTCTCTGCAATCTATGCCATTTCTCACCAGCGGAAGTGAAAGTGATTTATTTGGTCACAAGGGCTGTGGACCTGCCAGGCCAGTCAGTACCAGTCATTAGACAAGGATGACATCAGCGTGTCATCGGTCAACAGAAAACTGCATGTCGGCCTATCCAGGGGGCCCCGCTGTCAAGGAAGGAGTGTCGTGACACGCTGCATCATGCCTCCATTAAAGCCTGTTACGGAGATGAGCAGAGCGATGGGGATGTGGAGAGCCAAACCCAGAGCGGAGCAGCAAGCCGGCTGTCGGGCAAGGGCCAGTGCAGGAGCGGACTGGACAGCTGCAGAGCTCCAGGGACAGGGCCCACTCCCGGACACTGGATAGCTGAGTGTGCCACAGGGATCTCTCACCCGCACCTGCATGCCCAAATAAAGCAGGGCCAAAGGACAAACTTTCAATGTCCCATGGCATGGGGGGGGGGGGGGCAGAGACTAGCTCCTCTACCAAGGGGAAATCTTTATTGGTCAGGTCAAAATGAAGTGACATAACAGAAACATACAAATCTCTAAACAGACACTGGGGTCAACGAAGGCTTCAGCTGTGACAAAACCAGTCTCTTGAGGAGCGATGGATGAGAAACAGCCGGGCTATTTTTTCACGTCCAAAATGGCACTTCCTGGGCCACGGTGCTTAGCGCTGCAAATGTTACAGAACTGCGCAGGAGAATTCTAAAATGCAATTAAAAACACAGATTATAAAAACAAACAAACAAGCCTTCTCTTACCACTTTCATGCTCGGAGTATTTGAGGGGTGTTGGCTGGGGTGTGAGGAGGAAGGAAATCATGCCTTGCCCTTCTTGGGGTGCCTTTTTCTGCATGCACTGATTCTCCCAAGCACTGTGCAGCAGATGAGAGTGCAAAGTCGGGAGTGGGAGGCGGCAGAAACCTCCCACCCCACGGAGCAGCCATGTGGCAACGCGTACACTGGGATGCGAAAGTGGCCAGCACCTAGCAGCTCTCTTGGGCTCATAGCTCTGTAGTTCAACTGCCCTCACCGTAAACTTTTGTTTCCAATGTTTTGTTTTTATTTTAGGTAGTTTGACTCACCTAGCTGTCAGTGACAAGGCTTTCTGGGTGCAGCGACCCAGTCCCGCACCTCCCCCAAGTCCTCACTGGCAGGCTGAGTTCTGCAAAGTCTCTTGGGTGCTGCTGACTCTGGCCATTTCTTACCCCTCAGTGTTCCTTTCTATTCACATGAGACAGGCCATTCTGGCATTTTGTATCTGTCCCTCTCCTGACTGACTTCACCCAAGCCTCAACAAATTTACTCGGATAATTATGATTTTATAATGAATAAACACACATATGACTTCCGGGCCACCCAGTGGTGCTCCAGGATCACTCCTGTCAGTGCTCGGGGGACCATGTATGTTGCAGGGGTTTAAACCTGGGTCAGCCACGTGCCTTGACCCTGGTACTATCTCTTAGGCCCAACTTGGTACAGCAATTAAGCAAACCAACATTTGAGATGCGAGTGTGTATAAACCTCATGTGTGATAAAACACTCTAATAATGATTCTGAGATCCCTGCAGCCTTGGAACGATGGGTCCCAACTGTGAGCATGTCCCTGAGTCCGTCCGCGGCTGCAGACTCACCATGCTGGGGACGGGCAGGCACTCCTTGTGGAACATGTGGCGGCAGTGGAAGACCACCATGCTGAAGGGCTTGGCAGCATCTGGGCAGGGCAGAAAGGGGAAAGACTCAGCACAGCAGGCCAGGAGCTTGGGAAGCCAGTCAGCTGCTCATTCACACGTGCCTGGCAGGGCCGCGTGAGCAGGACCTGCTACAGTCCTTTGCTATGAGGCTCACAGGCAACCTGGCCAGTCTTTTTTTTTTTTTTTATAATTTATTTATTTATTGAATCACTGTGGGAAAAGTTACAGAGCTTTCGGGTTTAGGTCTCAGTCATGTAGATACCAAACACATTTCCCTTTACCAATACTCATTTTTAACCCCGAACCCCAATAGACCCCCACCTCCCACCCCTCCCAATTCTTTGTGAGGCAGATGAGTTCTAGTTAATACTCTATCTACTTTGACTAGATAGATTATTTCGATAGAAGATGCACAATTATTGTTTAGAGTTTACGACCCCCCCCCCCCCCCCCCAATCAGACATGCTGAAACAGCGTTGTGAAATGATTTGCTTTCTACAACTTGGTTTAAGAATAAAATGATGGGTTTTGAATTTCTGCTATTTTACTTATTAACCCTGGAAGAATTTCTATTAAAAGTTAGCTAGTTAAGAGATTGGTTTCTGTGCCCTGGAGTCGTGGCCGTGCCGGAGAGCCGCTCGTGGGGGGCAGCTGGCGACTTCGGTGGGGCGTGGGGGACGGCCCACAAAGCCCGCCTTCCCATGAGGTCCCCGCTGCTCCCCCGAGCCCGGCTCAAACCCGCTTTCCACAAGGCTCCCGTGCGGCCGCCATCTTTCTTTCCAGAGAGGAGCGGGCGGGCCCGTCAACGCCCTTCCCCCTCCGGGCAGGCTTGGTGGCGCGGATCAACACAAGTCCATTTGCTTTTCTGCTCCAAGCGGCTGGTTCTCTGTGCTAAGTCCTTGTGCCTCCGGGGCCGTGGCCGTGCCGGAGAGCCGCTCGTGGGGGCAGCTGGCGACCTCGGTGGGGCGTGGGGGACGGCCCACAAAGCCCCCCTTCCCATGAGGTCCCCGCCGCTCCCCCGAGCCCGGCTCAAACCCGCTTTCCACAAGGCTCCCGTGCGGCCGCCATCTTTCTTTTCAACCTGGCCAGTCTTTACGTCGGGGGGCAAACTCACGGCAAATGAGAATAAGTACTGAATGTCCTTGCCCTCGCCCCTTCCTCACCTTCTCTAGACCAAACCTTTGCTATGATGTCACTTCTATGGTTTTCTGAAAACGCCTTCTGCTCCTCACCTACTGCTTCTGCCAAGCCATTCACGATGTCGAGGGCAGAGCTGAGCTAACATCTGTGCTTGTGACCTGACATCCAACTGCTACATTTCTACTCGAGCTCTGCGTGGCCAGCTTACTTCGGGTAAGATGTAGAATCCATGGCATATTAAACTAAGAGTCTAGCCTTTGCACACAGCATGCATGCATACGGACTTTTTCTGCTTAGGATGTGAGGAAGCCCATTTCTCTTCTTGTGCTACTAGGATGTTTTAATGCCAGCCCTGGAACTCCTTTAGAAAAAAGTTTGCTGTTCATTTCCTGTTCTAGTCCCATTAAACAATGTGGAGTAAATGCTCTTGATAGCTCCTGTAGTACTTCTCCATGCTGAACTTACATATTAGAAGGGTTTTTCTTAAAATCTTGTCCTACGTTTTCTTTTCAACTTAGAAATTAGGAAATTTCTTCTTCTCATGCCATGACACATACATCAGGTGCTTCTGACTTTACATCTGTCCATCTGTATATCCATCACATACCAAGAGCTACACATAAATGTTTCTATCTTTCAGGGAATCACAATTCTAAACAGATTGCAAATACTATCTGTACTGAAGCATGCAATATCTTCGGTACATATAACCACACAGCAGAGAAAAAGTTTAAACAGAAGGGTAGGTTTATCTTCAGAACATTTTCCCAGCTACACGTGGGGTTGTTCCACATAAATTGTACAATTTTGTTTAAAGTTATTTTATTTTTTTTCTCCCCAGCAGTGGTTCCCAGAGAACGGCCATGAATCAGTAGCATCAGCCTCATCTGGGAACTAGAGAGAATCCAGGTTCTAAGGTTCCAGTGGGGAACCACTGAATGAGACCCAGAGGGGTGAGGCCACCAATGTGGGCTTTAAAGCAGTAAGCTTTAAAAAGTGTGACAGACTGAGACCTCAGCTCTAAAAAATGGTGGCCTTAAGAGTCAACTGAGTAGGGTGGAAACTCTTCTCAAAACTGCATTCTTAGGGGGCTGCAGTGTTAGTACAGCGGGTCGGGCGTGTCTTGCATGTGGCTGACTTGGGCTCAATCCCCAGCATCCCACATGTCCCCAGAGCACTTCCAGGAGTGATTCCTGAGTGCAGAGCCAGGAGTAACTCCTGAGCATTGTGGGAATGGCACCCCAAACAAAACAAAACGAAACAACAAAATTGTATTATATTCAAAGTCACATAATTTCATACAAAGTGAGTAGATAATTTCATATCTTAATCTTCCTCATCATGTAACAGGTATATGGGAAATTTTTTTCTCCTCCCACCCATCTTACCTGAAGGAAGAATAGGGGAAAGGCAGGATTCACAGATATTTTCCTCTGCAAGGAAATAAACATTCCAGGTTATACCGTGCTCCCACTTGCACTGTTTTCTTAAAGCAAGCTGACAGTTCCAATATATCCATTTTGCTTTGACCTACCATCAACTAGAACACCTTTCATTTGCGTACGGTGCATTTTCTTTAGTAAGGACAAAGAGTCAGCCACGAGAATCTTCTTGCAGCCTTCACGAAGCAGAATCTAATGCATATAGTGGAACACAAAAGTTGATAGGCGTGCGGAAAGTAGACTATAGACCAAACACGATGACCACTCAATACCTCTATTTCACACAACCCCTTAAAGGAAAGAGAGAGCAAAAGCGAATGCCCTACCACAGAGGCAGGGTGGGGTGGGAGGGAATTGGGGTGGATGTGGGTGGGAGAATAACTAGGATCAGTGTTGGTGGAGAATGGGCACTGGTGGAGGGATGGGTACTCGATCATTGTATAACTGAGACCCAAGCATGAAAGTTTGTAAGTCTACGACTGTACCTCATGGTGTTTCACTAGTAAAAATTAAAAAAAAAAGATTAAAAAAATGGTAGGATTCCTTTTTTTGGGGATTTAGAAAACAAAGAGCATAAAATACTCCAGAATACTTGCTTGTCTCTGCCGTCAATACCCCAAACCAAACTTTTGAACTCCATTCTCTTGTGACTGTCACTTTAACTCCTGGGTCTGCTGCACTTATGAAATCAAAAAGATACTATTATCCTTTGAGGATCCTAAATACAGATTCTCTGCAAAAGAGCTTGCTGGGTGCTCTGACTCATTATGATCTTTACATCATTTCCCTAGGTGGAATCCCTCCTGGTTCAATATCACCATTTTTTCACAGATTCATTCATTTACAGCACAAGTATGAACTGGATCCCTGGTATGTACAAGGTCCACTTGGAACAATCCACAGCACAGACAGCAATTCTGTCCAGAATCTCCTCCAGAATGAAACCTGTCTTTTTTTCCTTCCCTTGGAATCTGGACCATTCAGCACAGTGCCAGGAGTGTGGGCTTGGGCCGTGCTGAAATGTGATGAGAGAGAGGGGCTAAAGATCCACATTAACCTCAACTCTGAAATTTTTAAAGGTGTTGCCAACAAAAATGATCACCAGGAAGGTTTTTTTTCTTCATCTTAGCACTAAAGGGGTTTTCAAATGCAGTTCCCCCTGCTCCTCTGTACGCTATTTGCTATTTATCTCCTTTATTCCTCTCTACCCTCTTCCTGCCTGGAGGAATGTGAAGGGCAAGAACATTTTGGCAGCCTACATCCCAAAGAACAAAAGCAACCGGTGTTGGTGTGGATGTGGGGAGAAGGGGACTCTCCTTCACTGACAGTGGGAATGCCGACTGGTTTAGCCCTTTTGGAAAACAGTATGGACGCTTCTCAAAAAATTAGAAGTTGAGCTGCCATTTGACCCAGCAATATCACTTCTGGGAATATATCCTAGAGATACAAAAGAGTACAGTAGAAATAACATCTTCACTTGTATGTTTATTGAAACACTATTTACAATAGCCAGAATCTGGAAAAAAAACCTGAGTGACCAAGAACAGAGGACTGGTTAAAGAAACTCTGTTATATCTACACAATGGAGTACTACGCAGCTGTTAGAAAAGATGAAGTCATGAAATTTGCATATTAAAGTGGATCAACATGGAACGTGTCATGTCAGAAAGAGAGGGACAGACATAGAAAGATTGCACTCATCTGTGGAATATAAAGTAACAGAATAGGAGACTAACACCCAAGACTAGTAGAGATAAGGACCAGGAGGTTTGCCCTATGGCTTGGAAGCCGGCCTCACATACTGGAGGAAAGGGCAGCTCAGACAGAGAAAGGAACACCAAGTAAAGGTTGCTGGGAGGACCCACTCGGGTTGGGAGCTGTCGAAAATAGACTATAGACCGAACACGATGCCACTCAATATCTCTATTGCAAACCAAATATCCAAAAGGAGAGAGAGAACAAAAGGGAATGCCCTGCCACAGAGACGGGATGAGGAAGGGAAAGGGGTGCGCATTGTGGGAGGGATACTGGGAATATTGGTGGTGGAGAATGAGCACTGGTAGAGGGATGGGTAACTGATCACTGTATGGCTGAAACGCAACACGAACGTTTGTAAGTATGTAACAGTATCTCACGGTGATTCACTAATAAAAAATGTAATTGAAAAAGAAAAAAAAAGAACTTGGAACCATCTTACTCTTAGGTGCATGCCCCCACTATGGGGAATGGCCCTACTCCGGTTTAGGATGTGTACTTGGCTCTTTCAACTCCAGCAAAGCCCATGTTCTCTCCGGAGTACAGAGCTCTCTCTTTCCTTCCCTTCATTTCCCAAGTAAATGTTTAAATGTTTATGTTCAAAAAAAGAACACACAAAAAAAAAAAGAAAAGAAAATCAGCAACAAAACCAGAAGACCAGATCACTAAACATGCGAATGCCCAACATTAACTCCCCATCAAGCACACTGAACATTCAAGTGTTCCTGGAGGTGCTGGTGAGTGGGCGACATGGGTAGCTCTGATGTGGTCATGGGAACACAGGGCCCCACCAGCCTGTGCGCTCTGGAGGAGGGTGAGTATTCCAGAAAACAACTGATGTCCAGAGTAAGCCCAGAGATACAATTTCTACTACTGATGAGCAGAAAGGACATGACTAAAACTTCTACAGAGTTTCTATTCTTAAAATGTTAATATTAACTTCTTTTGGATTCACTTTAAAAAGACACTGAAAACTTTAATAGGCATCATTCAGGCACACTGGAAGATGAGAACAAATTACTGCAGTAAAATGTGCGAGATACTCTGATACAGTAAGAAAATTTAGGCCAGCAGGAAGTCCTGAGTACTGGCTGTGTGTGGCACATAAAGCCCCCTCAGCATCCTCAAAGAACATGGAGAATCAAACACGTAAAGCTGTTCAGTGTCTCATACCAAAATGAAAACTTCAGGAGAATAACGTCACTTGCAGGGTGTTTTGGTGAAACACATGAAAGGGAGAGGTCTGAAAATCAGCAGGTACCTAAGACCCTGGGCATGAATAATGCAGGGCCCGCAGTGCAGACAGAAGCTACTGCAGCTCCAAATGTAGAAAACAAAACAGTGAAAAAAATGCAGATTCAGAGGATCTGAAAGGAGCTAGGAAGGCTAGGAAGGAGTTAAAATCCTTGCTTGCTTGAATTAACTTGCAAAATTGCTTTCTGTAAACAGTTCAGCAGCCTTGCGGTTACAAAATTGGATTGAACCCAGTAGATGTGTAAGGTATGGGCTAGATAAATAAGATATAACTATTTAAAGATAGATAGAGTGTTTTGACCATTCTGGAAACTGAAACTATGTGACCGGGTTAAGATGTTCGGGTCGAGATATTCCAAGAAAAACTGCAAAGAACCCAGCAAAACACGTATTGGCAAAATATGTGCAAAATATGTGGTCTCTGTTCTCAAACTGTATAAAAGATGACCTGTTTCTGAATTCGGGGCTCCCAGCCTCTGCCCGTTCTTGGGTACGTTGTAGAGCCCCAGCATGCTGGTCTGAATAAAACCCCGCTTGAATTCCTGTAGGAACGTTGTCTGTCTGGTCTCTCCGTGCCTCCCAGGGTAAGGGGACTCTCCACCCTATCAGATCCACTTCCTCAATAGCACTGGAGCTCTCTAGACTGGTACAATCTGTCTGCCCAAAGAAAGCATTTTCGAGGAAAAAGCTTCAGTATGCAAAGGCATGTGGCCAAGAGAAAAAGTGCACAAGTGCAGCTTCGTCTGTTATTTTTGACTTGATCAAAACACAACACTTCAAATCATAAAAAGAGTGAAGGGCTTTAATTCTTACTCAGGTCAGGTCAGTGTATAAAAGAAATCAGACTATCACCCGGGGAAGAAATCGTTGCTCAGGAGAACCTGAGGCCAGCCAGAGGCCACGGGACACACACCAGGCAGCAGGACACAGGCACTGCCTAAGGCAGGTGAGACTGGATGCTGGCGTGGATTTCTAGTGGAAACAACTCCAGCAACAGAGGAAGAACATGCTGCTACTGACACTGGTCTGGCCTGTTTGGGGGCTTCCCCTGAAGGCCTCTACCAAGACACTGATGGCTGAGGTTCCGGCAACTCAGCCGACTGTCAACCCTCTGATGCTCATGGATCCTAACAGCTTAACTTTCCTGGAGAGCGGCTTCTCCAGCTGTGGACTCCTGCCTTCCCCCGTCCAGTTGTGGATGCTTGTCCTCCTCGTCCCTCCCTGACTCCTGCAAGCTTCACCTCATTCACACATTCAGGTGTGGGCACTGTCCAATGTCATCTAGGTTTTCAATACACAAACAGCCTAAATCACAGCTCACATTCTGAATACTACTTTCCATGAGCCTTTCCCAATAGCTTTCAGCTATTTTTCTCTTTCTAAATATAAAAGTTTTCAAACATATGGAAATCAAATAGGCTCCAGGCTCTACCTTGAAGAAATCTAATATTTGCTTGTACTTCAGAACAGCTTGTTCCAGCTGCACAGAGCTGATGAACACGTGCCCCTCCTCTCCCTCCTTACAAGCAGAACTCCAGTTCCACTCAGTGTGTGTTCAGTTCAAGTATATGACAAAGTTTGGGCCAATGGTGCCAAACACTGAGCCTCAAGCGTCTGTTCTCAAAGCAAATGCATCCCCGGGATGAATCCTACTTGGTCATGGTGTATGATCTTTTTGACGAGTAGTTGAATTCTATTTGCTAGTATTTTGTTGAGAATCTTTGCATCCGTGTTCATCAGGGATATCGGCCTGTAGTTTTCTTTTCTCGTGATATCTTTGTTTCCTTTTGGTATTAGAGAGATATGGGCTTCATAGAAACTGTTTGGGAGAGTTTCCGTTTTTCCAATTTCCTGAAAGAGCTCGAGAAGGACTGGCAGCAGGTCCTCTTTAAATGTTTGGAAAAATTCGCTAGTGAATCCATCTGGGCCCGGGCTTTTGTTTTTGGGAAGGCTTTTGATTGCAGTTTCTATTTCGTTGATGTTAATAGGTCTATTCAGATACTCCAGGTCTTCTTGATTCAGCTTTGGGAGCTTATAGGAGTCCAGGAATTTGTCCATTTCTTCTAGGTTCTCTTGTTTCATGGCATACAGACTTTCAAAGTAGTCTCTGATGATCTTTTGGATTTCTTTGGTTTCTGTTGTGATATCCCCCTTCTCATTTCTGATTCGGTTTATTAGGGTTC